CCCGCACACGCCCACACCCAGATCCCATCCACGCACACCCACCCACACCCCACACTCACCCTTGATTCTTTTCTTTCCCTTTTTCTCCGGTAGCATATTGTGTTTTTTGCTGATGTTGATGTGTTCTTCTTTCTTTCAGTGATCGATGCATCCTACGCGATACATGAATCCAGAAGTAGAGCTTACAAATTTGACTGAAGAAAAGAGTACATTAAATTTGCTGAAATCAGATATTCTCAAAAAAATACTCAAAGCAATGATATTTGATCAAAGCTAGGAAAAGTAACAATTGGGAGCCGAGTACCATTTAATGTCAATATTTTGGTCAGAAGAAGTGAATTTGGCGAAAAAACTTTTTTTTAAATGAAATTTGAACGAAGATTGTCGAGATCGCGAAATCTCAAAAGGATGACGCAAATAAGGACATATTTTGTCCAATTAATTTTTGCTCAGAAAGAAACAAAAATTTACACAAAGTATGACGTGATGATGGTATTAATAGTTTTATCTTCGTACGTCATAGCTACAATGGAGTTTCAACAAACTGTTATCAGCCTGTCAGCTTGATAAGAGAATGATGAAAAACAACTTATATTTGGATTTGAATGCAAAAAATATGTCCATTCCTTTCTTCTCATCAAAAACATTTCGTTTAATGAACTTTTAGTTCAACGTTAGAAGAATAATCAAATGCCGCTCGACACTTGAGAACGATGAAATACTTTTGTTAAGAAAAGAACTCGAGTAGATGAAAAACAAGAAACATCGTATAACAATCTTGATTTCACAAATCAATATGAAAAAGTCGCATTGACTTGTATATTTCTCAAGAGGATGTGTGACGAAAGGGTTTACACCCTCCTACAAGATAGAAAAGATGAAAACATGCGAATCATAGCGCAAAGCACTTCACAGAGATAAAATCAACACAGGTCGTGAAATCGAAATGTATAATACTAATAGATTTATGGTAACTGAATTTCTTTCGAAAGCCATATATTTTGGGTGTGGGTGTGAATATCAGTCACTTTTCACCCTCACACCTATACCCTTAAGGTTTAACTGAAAGCGCCGTATTTCAAAAATGTGATAATATGTTCTGTTTTATCTTAGAAATATTATGTATCTCAATATTATCGTTATTTGATGTATGAGTCATCATGTTTTATTCTCTAGACTTCTGCGGAGGATCGTTAAAAAAAAAAGGAATGTTTCATCATGTGAAAGAAGAACGATGCTCGTTCTGTTTGCTTTTGTCAGATGAGAAAGTTATTTTCGATAAGCATTAAACAGCAACCACGGCTACATCAAAAACAAGAATGGCAGCCGCCAATAAACACACTACCAACAGTTGCGATGCATTAGAAAGTCTCGTTAAATGCGCCATGTGTTTGGACTATTACAAAGATCCTCGTGTACTTCCATGTTCTCATACATTCTGTTACGGATGCCTGAAAGATTTGTGTCAAGGAGACATTGCCTACTGTCCGATGCGCGACAAAACAACAATTAATTCGTCCATTATCGATCGTTTACCGGTAAATCGAATAGCTAAAGACTTGGTTGAACATATACTGCAATCAGAATATAAATCTTCTACGATGGCAGTAGCAAAGTGTGAGAATTGTCAACAGATGTCATCCGATTATGTTTGCGAAACTTGCTCAAAATCCTACTGTACGCTATGTCTGAAAGAAGAACATGGCTTAGAAGAATTTGAAATACACAAAATCAAAGTTCTTATCAATGATTGGCAGAATATTCAATGTTCTGAGCACGAAGATGAAAAACTAAAATATTGGTGCATTGATTGTGAGAAATTAATCTGTAGTGACTGTCTTGTATATGAGCACAAACAGCATGCCTTCATTACTTTACGCGATATGGCTCAAGAAGCAAAAACAAAATTCGATTCATCAATGCAGCGATTACTATCAATGAAAGAGAAATTAGAAGCACTACTCAATATGACACAAATGGCTTATCAAAAACATCACCAAGCATGTGTTCAATCAAAGACTGATATCGAAAAAATAATGTCGAACTTCCAAAATCTTATCGAAACACAAAAGAAACAATTGATCACTAAAATAGACAGTAATAATACTAAGTATGAACCAGTTATTAAGCAACAACAGGAAGATATTGATGAGCAACTTAAAACTGTTTTAATTAGAATATTATTGACAAAACAAATGTGCGATACGTCAAATCTTCATCAAATTATCAAAATGAAAGGTGATTTGATTATTTACAATGAGTTAATCGAAGAACAATATGAGCAACTAATGGAAGGATGTATGTTCGACATCATGCGTTTTGTTCCCGACGATACTCTGTCACAAATCAAAGAATTATTAGAAAAATTAGACAACATATCAGTAGAGTCATTTTTGACCGATAGAAGTCATATTCAACCGTTGCTAAAAGTCTCTGATGTATGTGATGATGACGACTATATTGCATTGGACGGTACTTATGCTTACGGTTATCGTTTTTATTTAACAGTACCACTGAAATTTCAAGCCGTACGTGTCAAGTCGAAACTTGTTGATAATGATCTTAGCATTTATATTTTAAATTCCAATGATATTGTAATTCAGACAGAAACAATTCATGTAAACAATCGAAATTCAGAAGTATTCAAATGGTTTGCTATCCCAATTACTTGTGAGATTGAAAATAATTATTCGATTTTGGTATGGGCAAAATCTAATGGACAAGAAACACCATTGATCATCTGTAATTTTGAGGATCATAATTTACGCCGAATTAATCAGAATGTATCTGTTCGTAATGAGCATGCTCTCATTGATACATCGCAGAGTGTTGAAATCGGTATGAAGCTTAATGTACTCTATGATGCACTTTCAAATAATGATCCTGATCTTGCAGAAACAGTACCATGTATCAAAATGATTTTAGATATATAGACGACTTTTCTTTAAGAAAGACTTTGAACTTTGTATTATATGGTTTGATAGCAGTATTTTCATGTTGCATCGATGCAGTGTTGTAATACTCGTTCCTTATAGAAAATGTTGAACATTCAGAAAAAGGAGAGTTTGTTCCTTTTTCTAATAAAAAGATCATTTACAAATAGAGACTGTTCTGTTTTTATGCTATGTTTATCCTAATGAAGGCTAACATAGTTTGTCCCATCAATCTCCATCGTCCAACTCACTGATGCCTTGAGTTGTTGATGTAAATATTGAGCGAACTGCAAAACAATGCATTAATTCAGCCAGTACAATACTGAAAAATTAGGAGAGCGTGATAGTTCCTCTACAAGAGGTAATGGAAGTGACGATAAGCACCTATGGATTCACTATTGTTGAACTGGATAAGATAAATAGTCTGGTGAACATCACAACGAAGAAACGAAAACTATTAAATTTCGATTATAAGATATTCGAAAACACTAAGTGAAAGCACAAGAAATCTTACAAAAAATTGGACAAGATTATCATTACGCATTTCATGTCGGGGGTTGGTGTAGATGTGACTGTTTCTGTGAATATAAATAATATACGCTTACCCACACCCCACATCCGACAAATGAAACCACCTATCTTCATCGATATGAAAAAAAAAGTAGAGTTGAATTTTCTCTTTTAACTTTGGTTAATTTTTAATGATTTGAAAAATTTTATTTCTATGCACTGTTAACATGAAACCAAGATCACGTGAGTATCAGTGCTGTTATGCATCTCCATTATAGCGTTTTATGATGAAATTACGCGTTAAAAGATGGTGGGGTGTGTGGATGTGGGTGTGACTATGAATCTTCATTTCGTCAGTCACACCCACACCCACACCCACACGCTTAATACATGTTAACCCTTTGAGGACGGGTGAATGATATTTGTCCCACCTATTTTTCAGTACAGAAAATGTTTGTTCTATGTTAAACTGTTACAATCTTTAAGGTAAATAGGTCGCCTATCTGCCACCTGATGCAGGTCTTTTCTCTCTTTCTTCCTGCTACTATATACTGACGCATAATTTCTCTTGCTCTTCTCTCAATGCATTATCATCAGGTTTTTATCTCATCATTTGAAGCCAAATACAACAGTCTGATTGAAGAACCATTTTTCGTTTGAAAAAAAATTCCGTCCTCAAAGGGTTAATCCCTAATGAGTTATAAATATCCCGCAAAGAGTTCGGCATAATAGCTTATTGGTGCCGAGATGCTGCATTTTTACCATATTCTTTTTAGTAGAATGTCGTGGTCGCTCCAGGAATATCACGAAAACTGATATTTAAATTTTGTCCTGAAACTTTGCATAGACATAGACCTTAATTAGAATAGTTTATCATGAAAGTTTCAGATTCTTTTGTTGTTCCTATCCTGAAATAGGAACATCGAATCTGTCAGTGTAAATGAGCGCTGTAAAAGGCACACGTTTACCATAGCCGTATTTTAGGATTGGAACAATGAAAAGATTTGAAACTTGAAACAATAAACTGCTCTCACTAAGGTGTATCTCTATGCAAAGTTTCAGATCAAAATTCAAAAATCAGTTGTTCTAGTATTCCTCAGGGGACCACGACATTAAAGTAAAAAAATGCTGCAAAAATGTAGTATCTCGGCACCAATAAGTTATTATCCCGAACTCTTTACAGGATATTCATAACTCATTATGGGTTAAATGATGCATATAGTCTCAACTCAAAAGCGATTTAACAGTCTCTTGTCTTTTCTCGTAAATGCAACTACTTGTACTTCTCCTAGCTCTACAAATGACACAAATATTTATCGATGAGACTCAGAGATCTTCCTGTTTGATACTACTCATAAATCCATGCTATGTCTTTCAACACCGACAAAATCCAAGTTTTACATGAAGTTTTTAAATTAGTAAATGCTCGAGATAAGTTTCGTCAACTTCTGTAAGCTTCCTCAATTGATGCTTGCATCTTGAAAATATCAACGAAACTAAAAGAAAGCGTCTACACTCAAGGGGAACAAACGCACGACTTCATCGACTTGAAAAAATTTTTGAAGTATGAGTGAAGAACAAATGAAATACAGTCAAGCACAGCAAGTGAAGTACAGATGAAGTACAACCATATATGTCTCACCCTTCGAACTAACAGAATTTTTTTCTCATGCATACTATTGCTTAAAATTAAGGCTAGCGTATAATAATGCGGTAATACTTTCGATCTGAGAAACTTTTAAAAATAATCCCTAATAGAAACTGATATGTTTAATTAATACTTTTGATAGAGAACTGAACTGTTCGAACAGATCAGTTCTAAAAGTTGATCGATTCAATGTTAATAAGCTACGTAGGATTTTTCGAGAGCTATCAAGAAATGGTCCGTATTCCTTCTTAACAGATATCTAGGTGTGGTTTCTATAGCTTTCGGGGAGTGGTACTTTGTCTGCACCATTTTTTTTAACACGGCCCAATTGAACAAACTTTTAAGTGACATCACTTAATCGTTAATATTAAGAAGAAAATATCAGTAGCCACCGCACCAATTCGTTCGTTAATATCAAGTGTTAGCTAATTATTTAATATTAAATTCAAGGTTTTCTGTTTAGTAAGTTACTTGAAAATGTGTTATTAATTGATCAAACAATTAGCGTGAGGTAAACAGCATTTAATTTCGATAACTTCCTTATAGAATGGATAGTTTTTGAAAATAGCAAGTTTTTATAACGTTCGATCAAAGTCCTTAACTTCGCATAACCCACTTTTTCATTGCATTCCTTCATTCAATCAGATTTGATTAGAGTTTTGTTTTAGTCAATCAGGATTCAAAATGTTTTTCCCTTTGCCAACTAATAGAAGAAAGCATGTTGTATTCTTGTTCGTGGAAAAAACACCGTATGAAAATGAATTTCTTGACCCAAACAGTTTTGGATGCACGTACATACAAAACCCGTTCCTGTAGGAAAAATATCGAAATTAAACGATATCTGTCTCAGAATTATCAGTTGATCATTTAGTGCGTCAATTTCAAATAAAGTTTTATACAGAAAAAATTCAACTTATTGATAAATGCTGGGTAATTCATTTATACTTGATATTGATCAATTCAGTGATGACTGCTGGTCTTTTTTTCTTTAATATTATCAGCTAAGTGTCCTCAACTAAGATTTGTTTAATTTACATCGCGTTAAAAAGAATGGTCTGGCTTAAGCAACAACTTCTGATAGTCTCAGAAAAACTATATACAACACCTTGATACTGTTTTGAAACGAATGTCTGTATTGAACTACAGGCATTACAGATGAGTTGTTGTAATTTCATCAATTGTGAATTTGGCGAACAGTATGTTCCTCTATTGGCGTTAAGATTTTACCTTGTTCAATTCAATGACCTGCCTATTGACGAATGATGGTCGAGTCAAAGGAAAGAGAACAGAACAGAACATTATTTTAGTTATATAAATTTTAATATATATATTGTGCGTTTCTCTTTTACGATTCCATCAATAATAGAATGTGAAATATATTTTAATTCTATTATATACATCGATTGACGACCATGTGTATCCTTCGAAGAAGGATACTCTATGTTAGGAGCAATTAATTCTACTGTGTTAAAAGCTGTAACCCATCACGAAGGTCTATAAGTTTCATTGGTAAACTACATTTTGGGTTAACATCGTATTCAAGTTATCATTACAGATAGAATCTGAGTCCAGGTAGAAAATGCGAACTGTATAGATCTCCAAGTTTGAAGTTTTAATAGATCTGTTGACATCTTATAGAGTTTCTCGAGATCCTTATATGTAAAGGAATGAGGTGTACTATTTCTTCTTGATTTGAGAGAAAAAATGCATCACATTTTTTTATGTATCTCTTTCAATTTAATTTTTTCTCACTTGAATCAAATAGAATAAATATGTTTCTCCTTTAAAAGTCGATTACCCATGTGAGTTCATTCAGTTTTTCTTTTCTGTTGATTTCGACACAAGTTAAGGTAAACGAACGAAGAAACAAATGTAATATTATCTATTGAAACAAGAAAGATGGTTATATTAAGAGTTGGGAAATAAATTTATAAAAAAAGATCGAGGAAAATTTCTCAAAGTATCATGAGATGGCGACCGCTCCGTTACTCGAAAAGGCTTGAGGGTGGTGACCGACTTCGTCACTGCAGTAAGGTTTATGTCGTCTTCTGCACTGTTCTCGCCTCACTTTTTAGGCGCGGTGCACATCTATGATACCAATTGATCTTGTTTGTCAAGATTTAAATTAGGAATAGGTTTTGTGTAGAATTAATTATTTTCACTCTGAACACTCTTTGTTTTATTCTTTTTAAACGCGAAAAAATAATCATCTAAATTGTTCTTTTGAACTAGTTATTAAAGATTTAAAATATTTACCGTATTGAAAGAGAAAACCGATCATACTGAAACAGGAAAACAAAAGATGTTTGGGAATATTTAAAATAAATCAAATAAAAATAAGCAGATTAAATCATTTTCATTAATCTATTGAGATTATTTATGTGAAAAAAAATCCAACAACATATAGAATATAAATCAAATCATTAAACAAATGATGTATCGAAAGACCATTTACAAAAACGATAATTAACATAAAAAAAGAAAAGAAATAAACAAAATGGCTAATTGTAAATTTGCCAGATCTATTCGATGACAATACTTTACTTTTTTTTCAACAATTCTTGTAAATATTAACGTACAACTTTCATAAGATAAAGAATAATTATTCATTAGTTAAAATGTTTGTCATAATTCGATAATGAACAATAGTTAATAGTGTGATTAATATCTTCAATAATACAAAAGCCGAAAATAAAAATATTAATATGCCATTGATAAGTGTTTAATAAACATTTGATATGTTCGAAATAAAAAATTCTCCATGTACAATACACAAACTTATAATAACAAATAAATTTGATAAAAGAAATAATCGAACTGACTCTTTAAAAATGAATATTAT